ACAAGGCGTTCATTGTCGACCGCCGGAGATTGATGAGGGGTGAGGATCAAACAACGCCGCTCCACGACGAGCATCAAAACCACTTGACCACGATTCTCCCTATGTCTAATTTCTTCTATAAATGCTCTGATAAATATGTAAGCGCGAAACAAGATCACCACTTCTTGTCAACATAAAAGAACCTAGAAGGATAGTAAAGAAAAACGGACTGATAATCCTATAGATGCACATAGCATAGAAAGGCCCAACGGTGACGACTTTGAGATGTTAGAGAGAACCCTGTTGCACGAGTTGAACACGTCGATGCGAATTCTCCGATGCGTTTTGGGTAGACTTTAGGAGTTCAGGAAATGATAAGAAGGGAGAGAGTTTATGTCACAAATGATATGATACATTACCTGAACATTATACTCTAGCTTGAACGAAGATCAGTATTTGCATAGTGCGCGCCAAGAAACCAATGATTTCCCCCATATAAGTAGTTGATCGGTGTTTCACGTAATAGGTTGACACTTTCAACTAATTTGTGCATTAATATGTCATCAGATATCTAATATATTAACAGAGCAAGTAAATATAGTATGAGTCAGTACATCTAGGTTTTCAGGAAAGCAAAGTTGGCGAAAAGTCAGACATCGCTTTTGATGAAGATATATCAATCTCGTGAAAGCTTGTTTAGATAAATGCAGCAGTTCGTGAGTTTATAGATTTGGTCCGGTCCAATCTATAGTCAGACAAACAGAAGGCGAAATACTTTCTTTCCACCATAAACAATGCTCTCGATTGATACGCCACGTCAATTGTTGATATACTAGGCCGGGTAGCGCAGTGGTTAGTGATGCGCTAGTTCACAGAACAGAGTGTCTAGCAAGACCTTTACCTCATCACTCTTTTTCAGTCAGTTAACGAACACTTTGGAAAAACACGTTAGCTCGGCTACTTCCAGGACCGCAATAGAATCGTCTGCATCCTTATATTCATTGAGAAGACGAAGTAATCAAGAAGCATACGAAGCACCACATGACATATTTAAAGACATTTGTGAAGGGTGAATGCGATATGACTAATTGAATGCTAGAAAGGCTGAGTTTCTCACGTTACATATTGGTAAAGGGTTGTACAAACAGTAAGTAATTCTAAAAAAAAAGTCAACGATATGAGCGTAAGAAAAAGGAGTGGGTATCGATGCAATCCCTAGTCAAACAAGGTCACACTTCGACCCCAGATAAAAAATAATTTGACTCATTTCATGCTTGTTTTCGATAAGCACAGTTTCTCTTTGGTGGATAATAATCCTCTTCATCGAATATGTTTAATCTACTCGAATTCTGCAAGTTTACAGCTTTTCGCGCAGTTGTGATGCAATAATTATATACTCGAGATTCATAAGTGGTATTCAAATTATTCGACTCCGCGCAGGAGCTGAACCCACGTTCCATCCGTATCAAAAGCGCTTCGTTACCACTCTCTCTTTGATATAATCTATCGCAGCTGTCAGCAATCGACCTTTGACGGGTTTGCTCTGGTATGCACATATCGGCATTGAGCCCAGTTTAGCTAACAGCTAATGAATATGTGCAGTCTAATAAATTTCCTTATTTTTCTATTTTTAAGCAGTGTTATGATGCTATAACTGTACATCCAAGAATCACAAGTAGTGAAGCGCGGGTTCGATTTCCCCGTGTTTTACATATTACTCAAAATTTTCGTAATTGAGTTGACATATTTTTACCACCTTTTCTGGTGTCTATTGATAATATTGGAGCCGATCCAAAATCATCAATATTTAAAGAAAATGTGAATCCTTCCAATTTTCGGGCAGTGGTATACAGACTTGTCTCCATAAAACATTTTTTTTCCGAAATTATGAGACAGTGGAACAAGAACTTCTTCACGTCATTATTATTGAAACTCGTAGAACATCCATGAGCTGGATTCACACTCACCATTGACTAGGTTTCTGTTCAGCTATGATTGTTTCGAAAATAGCGCTATGATTAACACAGTTCTGAGACCGAAATGCCGAATTCCTACAAGTATGAGCGACCTCGCTTGAAGGGACACCTTGCTATGCCTCAGAACTTCGATTACTTGAAGTTATTAAACACACACTTTCGAGGTTCTGATCTACAACAGCGATTGATAAGCAGAAGCGCAGTTCTACACATCACGCTATAAAAAATAAGGTAGTTCGGACATGTAACGCGTTTTAACGACAACCGAAAAACAAGAGCCAATACCGATTGCATTCCTTGAGATATCAAACGCACAACTGAAAGACCACCGATGGTGCGATTTCATAACGAAAAACCTGGAAGAAAATTTATGATGCCCAACGAAGTCGTACAACGACGCATATCCATTAGGCTGATTTTGCACGTGGTAGCAACTTAGGTTTCACTGGTATCCGCTTGAGTGATTCGATGATCAACGAGACCACTTATGACACAGGTTGATGTTACCGCAAATTACCCGCTAAGCTCTAATGTGGAGAGATGCTGGAGGCCGACAGCTATATATACAAGGTTTGTCGAATAAACTCGGATTACAGATGAAACTTTTTTATTTGAAAAAAAGCATAGTGCTTATTTACCATACGCCTTGTGGACACTGAGTAGCAAATTTTTGCTTGAATCAAAGTGCACGATTGATCAGCACACGTACAAATCCGTAGCAGAAACCCAAACGCCTTTGCTGATGTTGCATAAGAGAAAACGAATCGAAGGGAGAAGTGCTGGTGTTTGCACGCCAGCTGTATGCTAGCAAAATCATTCAGTTATAAGTTAACGGTCAATTTTTCAAACACAATCATTTCAGAATCTAGTTCTACGACGGAGCTGGAGATTCCTCATGGGATTCTAAGGAAATGTACAAACAGATATAGACACATGGAACAGATACTGCTTCAAATTTTGAAACAATGTACAAGACATTACAAGTTCTAGATATATAGCAAAAAGGCGGGAACAAGTTTCTGCCTTATTTCGTTCGACTTATTTGAAGTGATTTGCAAGTAATTGCGTCACATTTCGTAAGTATTTACAATATATTGCCGATTTAGTTAGCGACGAACCAAATTACGGCTTAAAATAAGCAAAAAAAGTCTTCCCTCGTATGATTTTAACACTCTAGTTTGTCATTAGTGGCCTTTCGGTCACTTTTATGCCATGAACGTTATCTTAAGCATGCCCTTATGCAATCATAATTCGTTACTTATTTGGCTCTCATATGTTAACGGCGACGAATGAATATTCGGCCTCATTCGTAGACAAGAACTTTTCACAAGAGTGTTAGATATCATTCGAAAGCTCAAATCTTTGGCTAGAGCGGCACGTGGGTGGTTTTCCAAACACCCTTTTATAACGCTATGAAATTCAAGATTAAAATATGCTTTACATCGGCCGCGATTCAACTATTACTGCCTTGGAAGCACAAAAACATATGAACACACAGAGAAAATCCTTTAGTATCGAAGTCAAGCGTTTAATCCGAAGTTTGTTCCCAAGAGGAAAAACAATCCCTAATTGAATAACGAAAATCGCTTTTTCATGTGACCCGTCGAAGCGTCAATCGGTAGCTGGCCGTGTTAAAATTGTTGCATCAGTATTGGGCTTCGCTCCCGCCCTTCACACCTGGTAGATTAGCCGAAAACATATGTTCGATTATGAGAAACAATCGTATTTGCCTTGCTGCACTTCAGAGAAGCGGTCTTTGCAGTTTATAAGCACAGCCTGATTTCTTTAGAATTTACGCTATTGAATGTTCATCAATAGTCTGAAGAAAGAGCTCTGTCTTGCAAGAAAAACGCGTGTGTGATACATAAATGTTTTCTTTTCGCCGAAGCGTTATAAGCGTCTTTTCGAAAACCGGCCACGCACAGCGCCAGCCAGAGTTCATCCTGCGAATGGTTACTATCACTCTTATGAAAAACTCTAGTCCAACGAATAGGATCGAATATTCATTTGTCGCCGCTTAACATTTAAGTGCCGCTAATTTATTTCGCCAGAGCCGCTTTTTCACATCTGTTGTGTGGATTGCATCAAATCTTGTATTCGATTAGTCTTCTCGCATAAATCATCCACAAAGTTTTGAGTTGGGGTGCTGGTTTATGATTCTGGTCAAAGCCACGAATGTAGTTGAATGTTAGCTGACTTGATTTTTCGAAGAGTCTGATATAGAGCGCTCCACGTGATCTGAAACGAGTTAGGCAATCCAGGCAAGTGTGGTATCAATACCCGAATTCAGAGAGATGAAAGGCTTGGTGAGCACAGAGTGGAGCTATACCAGCTCTATGCTCTTGATGAACGCCGTCATTAAATATGTGCTACCTGGTTTCTTGAACGATCATAATCAAAATTAATGGATAAGAGTAATTGACGAATTATGAACAACGTTTTCACACAATTATTGTATGGCATTTTCTGACGAAAGTCAAATGTAAAAAGTTACGTCGACTACTGCGATTAGATTAATTAGGACATTCACTTCCATGCGTAAATACTAGTTAAAGCCAGCTATTCGATATTCACTATTGTCAGCTTCAGTTAATATTTGAGAGCAAAACATAACTGTGAATCTTTTCACTACACGAGTTGTGGCGCTTTTTTGACAAGTGATACGAAAATTTAGTAAGAGAAGAAAAGTTTCTAATCTAAGGAATGATTGTCTTCAACTAAAAGCGGTCCTCAGAATGCACATGTCTGTAGATCTGTTACAGCGAAAGCATGACTTGTGAGGTGCTCATGAAGATACAGTACCAAAAATAGTTAATTCAATTATTATTCTTATCAGCCTTCTTATTCAATTCCATGGTTCTTTGAACTACTGCTTTGTAAGCTTAGAGCAAAACTATGTCCTAGAAATCAACTTTCATTGAACCTGATTAAGGATAACCAATTATGTGTCCCATAATTGAGCTTATACGAGGCTGCTCTTAAGACTATTATCCGGTTTTCACGTCTCCGTTTACAGTGAAAAAATCAGTGTGGAGTGCAAAACGAGCGCCGGTGGTACAACGGCTCAGCGCATGCTCCCGGAAGGAGTAAGATCTGGGTTCCAATCCCGGCTGACGCGAACGTTTTTCGCACTCCACTCTTCATCATTGGTCATGAGTTTATTCAAACACCATGACACCGCAATCGGCGGTCAAATAAAGATGATTTCCGATTGATTATTGAACCCAATATCTGTCAACAAAAGTGGGTTTAATATCGATAATGACTGCCCCGCCACACCGTAGACGGTTGGCTGTTGACAGATACTCGTTGTAGTGTAGAAAGAGTGGAGCGCGAAACGAGCGTCGGTGGTGCAACGGTTTAGCAGACTTGCTCCCGGAAAGAGTAAGATCCTGGTTCAAATCCCAGGCTGACGCAAACGCTTCTGCGCGCTACTTTAGATTACTGGGAGAAGAAAAACAAGTTTTGACTTAGCGAGATTCAATCCTCCACGGACGGTAGCATGATCGATATCGCCAGTGGCGCGGAATTTCCTTCTTCAACGGAATTTTCTTCTTTGCTTCGAGTATTACTTCAGGTTCTTTGTACTACTCTGACAGAACATGAATTGTCTACAAGTTCGTATACTTTATGTGCATTTATAACTTCTATGTGCAAAGGAAAATTCGAATGAGAGCCGGAATTTCATTTCCGCTCTCATATTGCGCTAAACCTTTCCGAAAACCAGCTTAAGCTTCAATTCCAACGAGATCCGGGCCATTGAATGAGCTTAGTGTAATCCAATAAAAAGCGGTCCACAGGCCTTAGCTGAGCAAACATTGCAAACCGGGTGCGAAACATAATTTTATTTTTGCTCCTACAGCGTACCACAAAGGCGTTTTTGAAAAGAAAGCAAGTGTCGGAATCCCCGAAATTTAGGCTTTTGATTGATTACCTGATTTTCAGATCGATATCCTTCTTTGCTAGAAAGACTTCTGGAGTACTGAGGGTCAAAGTGACCCTCGTCGTCCGCAAAGGGCTAATGAAGGTCGGTATTCAAGACATTGTTGTCCCGCAATACGCTATTTGTGCTAACATCGACTGCTGTAGAATGGATTGTCGACATCAAAATCTAATCATTCAACAGTCTCGAACAAAGAGTGTTCTATAAAACAAGACGCCGTTAAGTAAGATTTCTTACTCAAGCTGTACTCCACCGAGAAAGATTCGATCAGAACGGTGACAAGGACGAAGATTGACAACGAGAACGAATAACTTGCTCGCATCATTGACTCTGTGAAAGACGAAGACGTCAGAACGCAAGCCGATTAAATTTATCCTAAGCTCGTTCAAGCTTGATAATGTGAAAAACTTGCTAAAGCGGTATGATTACTCAAAAAAAAGTTGAATTTTCTATTTATTTAACTGCATTTTTCGCAGTGTTTATGCTGTTTCGCATATACCTAAGAGAATTGAGTGGTGGGCAAAATATGGTCTCAGCAGGGAGCCAAACCTGCGTTTCATTCATACCGTGGACGAGTGCTGATGCCACTACACCATCAAGGCACATCCGCACCAACTCTCGATCTTCAACACCTCTATGTTAGCTATCGGCCACCAATTTTTAACAGTTTGGTCGATTATGTGATTTCGCTTTATAAACCCAGTTGAGCTGACAGCCACTGTTAAATGTAATACTCCAAGATTCTAGTATTTTTACTGTTTTTTTCGCAGTATTGAATAATGAGTGATGGCGCAGATGTGCCTCGGTGGTGTAGTGGTATTAGCACGCGTCCCCGGTATGGATGAAACGCGAGTTCGATTTCCGCCTGAGGCTGTGTTTTTGCTAACCACTCAAATCTCTTGAGTATATATGAAAAAATGGTTAAATTTTTCAAAAAAATATAGATAGTGTATATGCTTGCCACATAGATACCACAACTGAAATGAAGTACCCTTATTAACATTGCCGAAGAAGAAGCCTTGGTTTGATTGCCGTTATTAATCACGAGACATATGAGCTGGCTTTGAAATTCAAAGTTACAGTTAAATGCGTCATGTACTTTTCACAGAATGCTGGAAACGTTCATATAAGAAAGGAACCTGGCAGCGAGCATGAACTAAATCAGAAGAACAAAAGGAAAAAGCTCTCGGCGTTTATCAATTATTAGGCGATCTGTCATGAATTTCAGCAACGTAAAGGTGACCGAATAATTATCTGGCCCATATAATGGCTTGTATTGGCCTGCTGGTGAGCTATCATTATGCTACTTTTCTCAGACTGTTTTCGTTCCAGTTCTGAGACCTTGGAGGGACAAAGGCTTGATGAGACGCGATGTAAAACCAAGCATTTGATTAACCCCTATAAACTAGGTTACACCAATTATTTCAAGCACTGAAATCAAATGGAATCCACTAATTCAAGCATTGGCTGCTACAGTTGGAAAGAAAAGAGATGGAAGGAAATCCTTTGAGCACTTTGAATTTTTTATAATCGATTAACAACTACTACATCTAAGAATGCCGAGTTAGATGCAAAACTTGAAGCATCAGGCGCGAGTTGAACCCGTGTTATACCTCTTAACGGTGGCACGTGCTAACGGCTATTCTATCGAGATCTATGTTTGCTACCACTCTCTGTGTGATATAAGGCGTCGAAGTTGTTAACAAACCCGTTTTAAATTAGTTGCTGACAGATTTAGTACTTTACGCTGCACAAAGAGTGGTAGTTGAGCAAGGACTTTGGTAGTGTAACGGTTAGCACGCGCCCAGACAAAGGGGAAGCTTGGGCTCAACTCTAAGCTGAGGTTTAGTTATAGCATTACAGCACTGCTATAAAAGCAGTGGTATAAAAGAGTTGCAAATTTGACGTATGATACATCTTTAAACGACACTGAAAGCTGAAACGTATTAAGGCGAAGTATCCAGGTGCTTCCTAGTCAAAGTAGTCTCGTAGGTGGATGGATTCCAGCTGTACGTATTATATCGATATTGGAAAAGTTGGTAAAGAAATGTGATTTATTGAACATTATAGCACTGCTATGAAAGCAGTGGAATAAAAAAAACAACGCTAAATTGACGTATGATACATCTACAAACGCAAATGAAAGCTAAAACATATAAAGGCGAAATATCTAGGTGCTTCCTAGCCTGTCTTCAACATAGATTAAAAAACACATGAGATCCTACGCTTAAGAATGACCTTGCACACAGAATCTGATTAGGAAACACCTGCTCCGATGTCTTCTTGATAGCGTATGAATACCATAAGTTACATGTTGGCGCATTTGGCGCAGTGGAAAGAGGCTGCTTCACGTTGTTCGATCTTGGACATATGGCTCACCAAGCCTTCCATCACTCTGGGGACGGCAAATTGGTAGCATACTTGTCTGAGGGGATACGTAGCATGACTCAATACATCTGTAGGCCACCGTGATTCATTGTAGAGGCCATATATGCATTGAATCGCTACAGAAGAAATTAAAATTGAAGACGAGTGCATGGCGCATACTTGAAGGGCTGATCAATGCCGAGAGCTTTATCTTTTCTTTATATACCGGAACTATCACTGATCCAAGAAAATTTACCCGAGAGTCAGGTTTTGCTTCTCTCAGAGATTATTTTATATTGAACATTAAGGAAAAAATTCAACAGTTAAAAAGAATTTCAGCTTGGAAAAGACTCACAACTTTCAAGATCCGATATCCGATCGCGACAAACTATGGTCTCGCAGTGGAATCTCAACAATTAGAGAAAGCGGTGTGTTTATACATTGCACGATGTCTAACTTGACTATTTTATATTTTTTACTAATACGAACTCACCTTCACGCCTACTATACAGATCTAAGCATTCTTGAATTCGATTCGTTTCTTCGCATCTATCATTCAAAAAAGTGTTCAAATTTTCTCTAGATTCGGCTGCTGCTTCAAGATTGTCTTTTTTATAAATGCTTTGAATGCTAGTTAAGTCGATTGTCTCTAGCTTTCTGGAATAGCCGAGCCAGAGTACTGGCACAACATGTAGACAGTGAGCGCTCTCAGACAGGTCTGATGCCGGGTCACCGACCTCGTATAGATGAATACTCTAGTCAGGCCGGGGTCTGATCGAAACATTACTGTGCTTGTGATGATTGGTACAACTACCAGGGCGCCACTCTCCTCCTTCAACCAATGCATGTACCCAGCATACAGACAACAAGATCGTTTTGATTAGTGGAAGCGAAACGAATGTAATGGAAACTTGAACTATACGCTTCTTTTCCAGAGAGAGGAATCACCTTGGTCATATCACAAATGTTTAGGTTCCCTATTATCTGCGAAATTGATTGGAATCCTGAATGGGATATGGATCACCCAGTCATGTATTTGTGTTTCATAAAAAAGTTGCATGTAACGTCAATAATAGTGTCGGCTGATCAGTTGATGGACGGAGACAATTTATGTCATTCAAGAAGGAAATAAAGTAGCTACTCAAATGACAGATGTTAAATCTGGAAAACAGATAAGAACGGATAAAAATCCTCTCAGATATAATAGCAATTTCGCTAGCTCATTTGCACGAATTTAAGACGTTAATGATAGTGTTGTTCAACAGTCACTGTGGAATGAGTAAACATCGATTTCTACAGCCAAAAGCAGTCTAGTCGTGGTCGAGTCCAGCGCCATATTTGATGCTATTCATGTGTTCAATCTGCTCTTTAGTTTTTATGTCGAGTTATAAGAGTAAAAATCGCGAAATTAAATCTGGTTCTTAGAATTTCCGTTCTTGTGAAAGGATAAGGAGATGATCGTTGTTTCAAGGAGTACTCAACTATAAATAAATGTAGACGTTAGGATCGACGACACGGAGAACGTTCATCATATGACATTTCGAAGTAGCGCCAATATACCTGATAACTATTTTTTGAGACAATATGTGTTTCGGGCTTGCAGCCTCGTCAGTTGCACAATATCTTTCGTCTAAGCCAGCCTTTTTGGGGATAATCCCATTACATATAGGAATCGCAGAGTACTCTTTACATGCGCCATCAAGTGAAAGATATCACTAAATGGGCAGTGTTGTACACTCTCTTGTTCTTGGCTGATATATGTGAAATATCTTAGCAATTCTGACGAAAATAGTCGTCTTGACAGATGGCTTCTCATGAGCTTCAACAAAATTCCTTATGCCAGCGTTTTTTCTTTGAGCAGAAGCAGAAGTGAAGTTGTCAATAACAAGATTTACTCAATACTGAGTAACATTTTGGGCCTTGAGTCTTCTTGAAAACCTGGGAAGATTGGATTGGCTCACAATCTACTTCGTGAAGCACTTTGTGAACTTCAGCAGGAAAAGCTAATAATCGAATCTGACTAAGGATACCTGGAAATTTGACATTCCAATTTTCTGCTCAGGGAATGAAGTGACTGATTGAGGAGAATACGTGTCAACTCAATCTT